GGTGATCCAGGACCAGTTGAGCAGGTGGGCTGATTTCCAAGCCCAAGAAGAGCCATTTCAGATGGCTGAAACGACAGAGGAGGGATGTCGTTTGGTGACTAAAATTAATAAAGGAAAACCATCGAAGGAGATTATTCCAGATGTGGAGATGCAGAACACATGTGAGGGCAGAGCACGCAAAAAGCCAGGCAGATTCAAGGATTTCATTATGGCGTGAGCCTTGAGTGATTTGCGGAGGCCGTAACCGTTTCTGTTATTCCTTATTTTCCTAGTATTTCTAATTTCAGCAAATAATTTGTTACGTAGGTTGAGAGAGGTATAAATGGGGAATATATTCGTAATTTGGGGATTATCGATTATCACGAAGAGAGTTCTTCTGACTCGAAGAGTGCGTTTTCAATACGATCTTTACCAAGTATACATGATTGTAAAGCTTTGGCAATAATATGTTATTCAGATTGCCAATTATCTATATACGATCTAAGTTTCATTTATTATTGTTGCTTTCTTTTACATTTCGCAGCAATATGTGTTAAGAAACGTGTTACATATGCTGTGTATATAATATATGAGCATTTGTAACTTGGAAGCATTACAGTCCACCAGGTCTTTCTTTTTCTGTGGAATATTTTGCCTTGCGACTTTCAAGAATAAAAGAATGTCGTAATCTAAAAGATTTTTTCTTTCTAAATGTGGGCAAATTAAAGATATTACACCGACTTTTACATATAGAAGCATTGAGCAAGAAGTGCATCTAATTTTTCACGTAAAAGTGCATATAAGGAGTCGTTTAACGAAGTCCAAAAAGTACGTTTAAAAGTTGTTCAACACGATGCCAAATGTTTCTTTTTGCTCAGCAGAAATTCAAAGCATCGCTGGAGTTTGCTTTTCACAAAGTTTTTGTGGTCAATCGTACACACGAAAAGTCCAATATACTAGGAGGAACATATATCTCAATGACTAAACATTTTTTTAAGGTTTCTTTGTTAGCCTTTAGAATATACAGATTTATGTTGACAAACAAAGAGAAGAAGAATGCCCGTCATGGAAGTTCGAAATATAAGTAAAATGCCTCTATATATCTATATATATATATATATATATATATAAAGCTTTTTTTTAGTCCTTTTGGTGGAAGGTCCTTCCAACGTAACACGTAATTATAAAAATAAAATATAACAGTTATTGAAACGTTAGAGAAAAATAACACTAAAGAGTTTAATTATTTAAAGATTATGTTACTTATTTCCAATGTCAATGTTATTTTAATAATTATCATGTTACGTTTTTATAGGTTACGTGTTACATTAAATAGACGGTCTTTCTGAAAAAAAAAAAAAAAAAAAGAAGCCTATATATGTCTATGTGTGGTTCAGATAAAACTATATAATTTATAGCCTCTTATGAGAATATTTGCAACCACATTTTTATATATGTATGTATACATATTTATTGGTTTTGAGGGCAGGGGTTTGAATTTTAAACATCTCATAGTGTAAATTAATTAGTAGATTATGCGCCTGTACTATTAACCGTGCTATGCATATATGTTTAATTCTCCGATTCCTCTAAAAGATTATATTGATGAATATGATACTCTAAAATTCCTGCCACTGATGAGCCTTTTGCCATTTACATATGAGTTTGACTTGTGGTCTTCATATGCATAGCGTGTGAAGCGGAGATTTCCAACATAGTGGGGTTTTAATAAAATGTCCTTTTGTTCGTGTTTAATCATTTAAATCATGTTATTCTGCCTCTGGATCACTACGAAAATTTAATGTTTTGTCGAAGTTTGTACACACAACGTGGCCACTTTTTGTAAAACTACCAACGGAGATTGGTAAGGTTCAATTGAAAAAAAAAAAAAAAAAAAGTAAAAAAAAAAAAAAAAATTTAAAAATAAAAAAAAAAAAAAAAAAAAAAAAAAAAAAAAAGAGAGTTAGAGAGAAGAGAGAAAAGAGAAAAGAGAAGAAGAGATCAACGGCAAGTGTGTAATGCATGATTCAATCTCTTACCCTAAACAATTACGACAAACACTTCATACTAGTTGCTTTTTTTTTTCTTTTTTCTTTTTGTTTTTTTAGAACCCTTTGGTGTAGAGGATTAGATAGGATTAGATAGGATTAAATATTAATTGTGTTTGGTGAATATTTTTAAAGGACTAAATTGAATAAATTTTTGTTCAGTCAATGCTAAAATCCCTTAGAAGGGGATGTTGCTATTCCTACTAAAACACATGATAACTTTTAACTAGAGCACATTGTGAAAAGCATTAAAGACCTATTTATAATTTTTTTTAAAAAATTTGGGGCCAAATTATAATTTTTTAAACATTGAGGGATCAAAATGAAATTTTTATATGAGGAAAATATTTTTTAAAATTATATTTTACCCCTAAAGTTTTATAAAATTACAATTTGATCCTAAAATTTAATTTTAAAAAAAAAAACACTCTTATCCTAATAATACAATCCCAAACATAGATTGGATCAAACTAAAATTAATCCTATCATTTCTTATACATTCCAATTTATTACCTTAAAACTATCCTAATGTTTGTCTATCTTGCGTACAAAACGGGGCCTTGAGGGATACAAACATCAGTTCATATAGTAAAGATCAAAAGCAACAAATTAATAATAGTGTTTTCTATAAGAGGTAGGCTAACAAGGAATATGAAGTTAAAGCATATCTTCATCAATATTGTCCGCATCTTACAATTTAGAAACAATGACAAAGTGATCACGTAATAACACATGCAATAAAATAATATTAATAAATAATATTTCATCTAATTAAGCATATTCTATTTTAATAATTAGAGATTGATAAGTGTATAATTATACTACTACCATTCAGTATTAATAAATAAATTAGTCCTATAATGTGTAGGACACATATCCTTTTTTAGACTATGGTCAGTATATGTAAATATCAATATCAATGCTTTATTCAACATTAAAGGTATGAAACTACTTATCAATTTGATACAATATTATATTTTGTGCTTCGAACATAATACTACTTTAAATGTTAAGTCTACTTTTTTCATGATTATTAAGCTATGCAATTAGTTTATAAGAGTAAATTTTTAATGTTAAAAAAATAATTTAAAAATTACAACTTTTATAATGTTAAAATAAAAAAGGTGAACAGTTCAAACAATAACAATTAAATGCTAAAATTTTGTTATTCGTAAACAAAAATATTAAAATTTTGCATATACTATACTTGGTGTTATATTTAATACTAGATATGTATATAGTGTCAGATTAAGTATAAAAAATACCACAATTTTAAATAGTTATCGTCCCACGTGAATATTAAAATCTGATCATAAGAAAGAAAAAAGAGATAAATACCCTTAGAATGTATGAGTTTTGGATTTATATTCCTTACACTTGATTAATATCCTTTAATCAAAAAATTATATAAATTAAAAGGGTATTAATTAAGAATAAAGAATAAAAATCTTAAAATAATACATTTAAAATGTGAGTTCACTAATTTTTTTTAACAAGAATGATTTAATATTTTATTGAAAATGCTTTTACCAAGGATGATATTGCGAGTTCAAATCTCACTCTTCAGTTATTTTTTACAGTACCATTTCATGCATGGAAAAGAAATTTGAGGCAATAAAATGAGACAAAACTGTGAAATAAATTTTTGATAATTTGATTCTGCTTTAAACTCTTCGTACATATGCAATGTAGAATAGCTTTCCCAACTTATCATCTTCAAATGTCTCTAAAAGTCCGTGTTCTGAAATGAGTTAACAGCCTCAAATTTTGAGGTTTAAAGTCAAGTACGACGTGTAATTTGAGGACGAGAACAATCAGTTGTTGTTGTTGTCAAAATGTCAATATTCTTGAGGCCCACATATCGGTTATGTCCAATTTTATTTACACACTAGATCGAGACCTCTAATTTGAGTACAATGAAGTCAATATGACTTTTCGCAAATATCTTCCCACGATTATGTGACTGTCGACTAACACAAACTTTTAAGGACCACACAAATTTATATTTAAGCAAACAATTTTCTTCTAATTGGTGGAAAAATTCGAAGCTATCTTTCTTTCTGCCTTGCTTTTCCCTCATTGTTTACGTTGTTTGATAGTTTTTATTGTTTAATAGAGCGTTTAATTATAAGTATTTTTTTTTATTTTTAACTGTTAAATTTATATTATGAATTATTTATTCTTCATGTATTTTTAATTTAATATGATTTTAATTAAAATTAATAGTCAAAAACTGAGGTAAAAAAAATCTTACCAGAAAAGTTGCTTCGTAATCTTACACTTCTTTGACAATAACCAAGGAAAGAATCTTACAAAAATAAAAACATAAATATTATGCACGTTGGAAAACGCTAGCCAAACATAAGTTCCTTTTTTGCTCTAATTGCAGTTCGGCATTGTTGTTGGATGCTGATTTTAAGTTATTATTGTTAAACTCTATTTTAATTAAAATAAGATAAGTTTTCTAATTATTCGCTTAAATATCACAAACTTTTATTAAAAATTATTTGATCAATATGCACGATACCGAATTTTACAAAAATATTTTCAATAACTATTAGATATTTAACCTAAATGAATATACTTATCCCCTTAAATAAAAAGAATAGTAAAACGAAAATTACATATACAGATATATATTAATATTGTTGTAAAAAGTTCTGATGTTAGCCTTAAATTTAATATTAGAAATACAATAAAATTTAAATTTAAATTTAAATAACCATGCCTATTTTATCTTTACATATTTTCCTTTTTCTCAACAATCTAACCAATAGTTTATCAAACCCCTAATATTCTTAATATATCACAATGATTTTTTACTAACAAAACAGCTCGGAACGAAAATTCTAACCTCACCTTACTCTTTTGTTTCTTGGGGGATTTAATTTTTTCAAAATTTCTATATGTTACGTAATTTCAGGAAAAAATAAGAGAAAAACATATATAAACACATTTCCATATTTCCAGCTTAAAAAAAAATAAGAGTTCAAATATCAGAACACAGAAATACGAAGACACATTTATTACAAGCATACAATATTAAAAAAAAAAAGAAAAAAAGCTAAGGCCTAAGCTCCGATTCTTCTCTTCGTTTTATTTATTCCGCTGTGGTGGGTACCACCTCAGCTCCACCAGGGAAATAATCTTCACCGGCGATCTGATCAAGAACAAGCACCAAGCCCATGGCAAAAGCACCATCAAAGCCAGGCTTAAGGCAGAGAGAGAAAACGTCCTTCCCAAGCACCACATTAGTGGAAGCATCCACTTTGCGTCTGATCTCAGCCACTATTTCCTTCCTTGCATTGAAAATCGTGCAACATCGTTGTGCAAACGACCCTTCGATCTGGTACTCCTCCCCTGGCCTCCCATACACCTCTACCGTCACTCCTGACCGTCCGATTATCGATGATCTCTTCACGCTGAAGATCGGCTTCTGGCCGTCCGTTCTCTCCCCCAAAAACCCTTCCCACCGTTGATGCAAACTCGGCCTCTGTTTTATTTATTAAAAACAAAAAAAAAAAACAAAAACAAAAATCAGGAAACATTGCCCACTCGCCGAGTTAACTCGGAAATATGATCATGAGCCTAGCGAGTCACCAGAAAATCTTGTGGAAAACAAGATTCAAATCGGTACCCATTAATCTAAATTGAAAACTGAGCAAACCCTTTAGAAGAAATAACCCAATTCATACAAATGCGTATTGTCGGCGAGTTCACTCACTGAGATAAAATTTTGTACCTTTCGACGAACAGTAAGGAGGCAACGGCCATGGGGGTCCATTAGAACGAGTTCATATTTCTCACGGATGTCCGGGCCGTACGTGTCGACTCGGAAGACGAGTTCGGCCTTGGAATCGTAGACGGTGAAGCCATCGCCGGCGTAGAAAAGAGAGGTTTTTGAGACCGTCAGATGGGTCTCTTCCTCGTACACAAACCCAGCTTCCACAACTAATCCTTCTTTCATTTTTTTTTCCTTTCTTGCAATTTTCAAATCTCACACACCAAGAGACGCCCTATTAATTCGCTTCTAATAATAGCTAGGATTTTTAAAAAAATTATTTTTTGAATCTGGGTCGGTGTTGGTTGTTAAAAAGAAGGGAAATTGGACGTTGAAACTTGAAAGGAAAGAGAGAGATATTTGGGAGAGGGAGAGGGGGAGGGAGAGAGAATTTTGGAGCTTGAGTTTGACAGCTTTTCATTACTGATATTTATATTATGGGGATTGTGCGGCACTATGGCACTCTTTTTTTATTCTCTCTAAAAATTTCCCATTTATTACAGTTCTCTTTTTGAGGTTCTCACTATGTGGAGTGTGGGCCCCAAAATATGGGAACTTATCACGAACGCGAATCTAGGGTAGATGGTAGAGGAAGGAATCAGAATACGTATGACTCGGATGACTTGCGAGTCTGGACTCAGCAATGCACTGTAGTGCCATCACCTAGCCTTCATCTCAGTCTGAGCGTAACAGTACATTAATTTTTTTTAAAAATAAATAACATGAAAAAAATTAAAAATATTGTAGTATAGTACTTTTCAAGATTTGCTAAATAGATTAGAATTTTACGATATGAAAAAAAAAAAATTTGTTGATAGGGTATTGTCTTGAAACGTCATGTTTGTATAGATATATAAAAAATAATTTATTTTGCATATGTTTTACTTTAATGTTGTTTTAATTAGATAAATAAGAATACCTTATCATAGAGTTTTTAATTTCTTTATGAGGTTATAAAAAATCATTTCCGATGGTCAATTCATATTTGATTAGGTTGTTTTGGAGTTTATCTTATTTATATCTTTAGATTTTAAATTTATACTCAATTCTTTTCTTGTATTGAATCACTAGTCACATGTCAATTTTGTCTAAAAATCGAATTAAAATACTCTCAACAAAATAGAAATAATAAGAATAAAATTATAAAATATGAGAATATTCCGGTATTTTTCATAATTAAAATAAATTTTTGACCGAGAATGGATAAGTAATTGACATGATTTAAAATGTAGAATTCTAAATGAGACACCATTCGAAATATGAATTATATGATTTTTATATTAAAATGAAGGGTATAAAGATGAAAAAAAAAAACAAAATCTCCCATGCATATAAATAAGCAAAGGTTTACAAACATATAAAATAAAAAAATAAAAAAATAAAATTTAGTGAGGACATATATAAAAATATTCATTTTTAAGGGTTAAATTTTAGTTTGAAAGAAGTCATTGGGAGTGGTCCCCCCCCCCCAAAAGGGTGCTCTATTTATACACATGCCCAATTGTGAAGATAATGATGTTGGGTTGGCGCATTTGAGTTTTGTGTAAATGTATTTTGTGTTAATAAAAAAATGTAATATATATGGTCCCATCGTTTAGAGCGCGTGTCATTATATATGGTGTTCTGTCTTCATGCAAGTTAGCGTGTTATGATTCACAATTGTGAAATCTCTATTTCTTCATAAAAAATAAAAAATAAAAAAAAAATAAAAAAAACCTCTATTTCTTCCATCAACTTCAACTTCGCATAAAAAGAAAATCTAATAGATCCGTTTATTTTATCAATTTGAGTTTAAAATTTGAGTTTTATTATAATAAAAAATTTTAAAAAATAATTACATTTAATTTTTTTATTACAATAAAAAACTCTCACATAAAATCACATCTCAACTCGAATTAAAAACTCAAATTAACGAACTAAATGAGCCTATATGAATCCACTTTTCTATTTCCTTTACTTCATGGGATTCATATATTAATAAGGTCGGCTAATACCTTATTATTATTATAATGATTATTGTTGTTATTATTATTATTATTGCTAAAAAATGAAGGTATTAGGAATTTAGGCATGCACGTGTTATGTCCTATTAATTCATGTCTGTGTATTAAATGGCAAATTAGATATTTAGAAAAGGCAAATAATTTTTTTATCATTATTAATTAAAAGGTAAGCAAAATAGTATGTTCTGAACTTTAAGAGGAAAAAACATGTCCTCACACTTTTTTATTTGTTTTATTTTTTGATAAAAGAGAGAAAATGGCTTCTCTTTTTTTTATAGCAAAACTAAAAAAGGAAGAAAATAATAAACCAATTATTTATTCAAACTAGGATGGCGTTTTTTTTAATTTCAACCAAAAAAGAAAATGGCGTCTCTCTACATACACCTTATCTGATGGAAATTGAAAACAGTTCATTGTGTTCCTAGGGTAGTAATCAACATTCTATAAATTTAAATCATGAGAAAATGGAGTATAGTTCAAATATCATTTTCCTATGGAGAAACTGGAGAGATGAATGTTGTTTGTTTGGGAGGCCAGCAAGCTAGCTAACAATTTGAAATGGGGAAAAATGCAAAGACCATGGAAATACTCTCTCTCTCTCTCTCTCTAGCTAGCTAACAGTTTGAAATGGGGAAAAAATGCAAAGACCATGGAAATACTCTCTCTCTCTCTCGGCGTATTTTTAAATTTCAACCAAAAAAACGGCGTATTTTTAAATTTCAACCAAAAGAAAATGGCGTCTCTCTACATACACCTTCTCCGATGGAAATTAAAAACAGTGCATTATGTTCCTAGGGGAGTAATCAGCATTCTATAAATTTAAATCATGGGAAAATGGAGTATAGTTCAAATATCATTTTCCTTTGGAGAAACTGCAGAGATGAATGTTGTTTGTTTGGGTGGCCAGCAAGCTAGCTAACAGTTTGAAATGGGGAAAATTGCAAAATCTATGGAAATAATCTCTCTCTCTCTCTCACCGGTATGAGAAAAAAATTACATTTATAGGACTGATGTGACCACCGAATTTAAGAGTACGTTTGGTTGATGGATTCAGAATTATTCTCGATTTACGTGTATTTTTTGTGAGAAAAAATACTGTAGCGAGTCACGAACCATGATTCGTGCCATGGCACGAATTTTTGAACCAAACGCACACATTTCCTATACGTACTAGTTTTGTACGCATAGTCTCTCTGTGTAATACATAATATTACATGTGTTAAACTACATTTTATGAATATTACACTTAAATAAATCTACATTTTATGACTGTTACACTTAAATAAATCGAGTGTTACATGTATAAAAGAATGATGTTACACACCAGTATGAGAAAAACATTACATTTATTGGACTGATGTGACCACCGGATTTAAAACATTTGCTATACGTACTGTTGTGTAGGAAAATATGTTTTGCCACATCGGATGACAACCGAGCTCCACATAGCCTTCACTTGCCACGTCAGACAGCGGTCGACGTCTTGGGTTCATTTCTCCCTCCCCTCATTTGTGAAAGAGCCGATCGTATGAGAAAATTCATGCAGCCGTCGACCCCACACGCAGTCGAAGCCTGCACGATTCGGTCTCCGTACACCGGTACCATGGGTGGATCGACCGCGACGGAGACTGTGACCTGTGAAATATAATATAGACGCAGAGGGCAGAACGCACGAGTTTGGATCCACGTCCCAAGAATGACCTCTGAGGTGACAGGGAGCAAATCCGTTGGTTACTTCTGAATTTTGAGAAGGTTAGTAGCATAGGAAATAATTGCCTGCCTATAAACCACCTAGAACGGACCAAAGAAAATCATAGAAGATCCACAGAGGGGCAATAGTGGACAAAGTGGGCGAGTGAACAGTCCAAAAGGTGCTGAGAGGCTATAGTCTAGGCAGGTAGGATAATAGGCTACTTGAGAGAAACCATAAGAGAACCCCCTATCACAGTCCGACCCAAATGTACTCATATGTGATATGTAAGATATAAAAGGGGCAAAGTCACAGAGAGAAAGGGGGGATATTCTTGTAATCTTTGAAGAAAGAAAAATACAATAACAAGTGGATGTAGCTCTTTTCATGAGAGAGTGAACCACTATAACCTCATGTGTTCTTTTCTTTTGTTTCAACGACAAATCTATACGTCTTCAAAATACCTTAAAAAAACACAATCAGTTGCATTTTTCAGATAATATGATCAGTTTTGACCGGTAACCCAACTGATCACCGAGTGATAATCCGGCGTAATCTTGTTGATGAAATTCCACCGTCAACATGTGTGACGACCCTAACTTTTGATCATCATCCTACGTCCATACTTAGCATTACTCATCCTCTACTACTTTCTAATTATAACCTCTTAAAAATTCAAGCTAACTTTTTTTCAACCATTTATACGTCTTAATGCTATAGCATTTTGCTATGCATTCCATAAATGTAATGCCCTCCCGAGCCAGCGGCTAATAATTACGCCAACTCGAGAGAAACGTTAACTTACTTTACTGTATTACTGCTTAAATAGAGAAATAATCTCTATATCATGTACAATCCTCGAACAAATTCTTAAATTTATAAATTAAATAACTTAAGATCTCTTTACTTAAACTCGTCATGAGACTTGAACCACTCTTGCTCAGTCAACTGGAACTTCTACTGAAGCTTACATGCATCACGAGAACTATATGAGCTAAAGCTCAGTAAGTATACCGTAAAATAATTTCCACTTTGAAAATACTTTTCTTTAAACTTTTAGGGCCCTTATGTCTGACATTCATCTTGTGTTATTAGAACCTCTTTATCTTCTATTTGGTGGCTCCTGTCTTAGAATCTCTTATTCCTCAAGGATTTGACCCTTTTATTAACTAAGTCGGTTCGTAATCAACACAAGATTCATTCATATTCTAAAATCTAAAACACTTTCTAAATCGCATGAAAACATGTAAACTATATATAAATTGATAATTTTCATAAACTGAAAACTTTCATGTACTACTGTTCAAGTGATGCAGTAGAAAGTCTACATACAAATTCTTTGGTCGAGATGAAAATCTTTCTCTCGATTTTCTCTCTCTTTCTTTCTTTCTTTCTCTCTTCCTCTATTTCTCTTTTCTCTCTTTTTCTTTCCTCTAGCTTCCTCCATATGAAGGATGGAATGAATCCATCACCTATTTATAGTATGCCATCTTACATTCTAGCC